TCATCTAGGCGTGCATTCTGATCGAGAAGTTGCTTGTAGACCTCCGCAGCGTCATCCAGTTTCTTCACGTACTCATCATCTTTTGTTGCCTGCAGCTCCGCCCAGTGCTGCTGACCTGCCAAACCATACTTGCTCTTCACGTTGTACTCCACCTCCATCATGTTCAGCCTCAAGGCATGATAGCGATTCACCTCCTCGTCCGAGACATCCGGCAGCTCTGCGCTCTGCAGCTCGCCCTGCATTTCACCACGTTTGATTGGACCTGCGAATCGAAGCTCTCGCTTCTTGTCATACACCCACCGCATGTAGTCGCTTGGTTCTCCCCTCAGAGCAGCCGATATCTCCCGCGCGGCGGTCTCCTGTCGGGCCGTGTCGCCACTGCGGTAGTCTGCATCAATCTGCGTCCACACGTCACGTAGCCAGGCCATACGCTCCTCCAGAGCGACTTTCATTTCCCGCAGTGTTGCGGCAGTAAACTTCGTTCCGGTGGATTTTAACCGCCTTTTCACTGCATTCTGTATCTCAGCCCTATGCAACTTTGCTGCGGCCGCATATCCTCGCTCCACCCGCTGATCAAAAGCCTCGTAGCGCTCCTTCAGTCGCTTCTCCTTGACGTATGCATCGAAGGAAACGTCTTCTCCTGCTTGCCATCCTTGCATAGTCGCAAACTGCTCGGCAAGTCGTAGACGACCGGAGTTGATGCCGCTGGAGAGCCACAGCGGACGCGAGACTCTTTGCATCTTCTGCTTCTGTGTGTTTGTTTTGCTTCTTCGCCACACGACAAATAGACAGGAAAAGAAAGGGGAAAGAGAAAAGCAACACGAAATCAACCAAATGGTGGGCTTCTCTGCAGACCATTTCCTTCACCCACCACTGTTTGTTCCTCTCCTTCCCACCCACTCTCCCCATACCTCCCAGCGAAGCAAAAATAAACGAGGGAAAAAAAGGGATCACATACACACACAAAAAAAAAAAAAAAGGAAAAACAAACAAACAAAAAAACACACAGGCAGTATCCCTCATGTTGGCACTGCTGTCCGTACCATGGGGAGGCATATATATATATATATATATATATATATATATATGTATCATTTGCTTAACGGCGATGATGCATTCCATCGAAGTTGGTACACCGCAGCTGGCTTCACTTCACTCACGGTCTGCGGTGGGGCAATCCATGACGTGGCACCGAGTTCATGTGCCACTGCATCGATTTCGCGAGCCTCCTTTTCACTCAGCGCCTTGTAGGCCGGCGATCGGCACACCTCTGCATACCCCAGTACGGCAGTAAGGAGGGCGGTTTCCTGCAGGAGTGGTGCATGGTACTTCCTCCCCAAGGAGTAAAAATGCCCCGCCGTATCGTAGTTCACTTCCTCCCGCGCCAATATGGACTCACAATACGCCTGAAGCGGCGCAACGTCCAATAAATGGGACCCCAACAGGGTCGCAAACACCGCTTCACGCGGTACAGTGAGCATTTGAGTATATAAAAAACGCAATAGCGGTTTAACGGCCAAATAGGGCACAGACACAGGTCCTACCAGAATATCTCGCCGCGTCTGAGAAGAGCCACGACCAGCGCTTCTCATTTTGGCAGCGACAGGACCCACCTGAAAAGTTGTTTTTTCTCCACTCACCAAAGGTCTTAGAAGGTCGTTAAAGAACGAGCTCGCGGCCATAAGAATAAATGGATGAAGAGAATAAACGCTCTTTTGTTTGGTATGAGGATCAACAAACAAAACCGTTGCGGTTGCAGAATTGGAACTCTCTAGAAGGGATAAGAGGTCCGCCTGTAATTGCCTTGTACTTCGTTCATGAGCCTGCTTAAGTTTCTTACGACTACGTGCGAGCAATGCATCGCAGATATCCATGAGTGGATGTAACTCATATACATCTGCCGCGTGTCGTAAGGCCTGCAAAACTTTCGCCTCCTCCTGCATGGCGTCTCCTTGCCCAGAGACATTTGCGTCCTTCGTATACTCTTCCTCTTCCTGCTCCAAGAGAATACGGTGTCGCACGTCTCCCCAGTAAATATAATCCAGCAAACACTGCAACTGTTCCGCAGACAACGATACCGAAAGTCCCTGAATTCTCGAATTTCCCTCCGTAAAATACGCAACAGCATGACTCGGATGTGTTTCACCCGCCGCCGTCGATGTTGTCGCCACTCCCCCTGTTGTTGGGAAAACTGGCGATGGTGTGAATGCTTCTTTTAAGGGATCCGTCAAATCAAGCGAGGGCATCGCGCTGCCGGTTCCAGCCGGCTTTACATGTTCCATGCGACAACGCTTGAGATCTTCCCAAAATTTAGGTGCACGTTGCTGCAGGAAACCACGATGCACACCATACGGCCGATTACTCAACGTATCAATTCCTGTTTCCCCATCCCAGCTGCGCGGTATGGCGTAAGTGTCAAACATGGTAGAGATACTGGCCTCGCGTATGTGGCGCATCATGGAGGTGAGAGCGTCTGCGTTCGATTTTGCCCACGAACGTGAGTCTGTTTCAAAGTATCCATCCGCAGCAAGGAAGCGTACCATTGAGTTTGACGCGGGCTCGCTACCAGATACCCCTCCAAAAACATGTACAAATCCACCAGCAAAGGCAGCACCAAATGATTTCCTATTGGGGGCCACAATGGAGACATTTCCCATTGCCACAGGGATCCAACATGGCGAGTCGTTACCCTCAAAAGGCAACACAGCGACAAAATTATGGTACTTTAGCGTGATACGTGTACTTTGACTACTCGCACTACATCCACCAACCACCAACAAAGCTTCTCCACATGCAAAGAGATGATGTTTTTCCCTAGGAAAGGAGTCTGCAGTCCTGCCATTGTGAAGCAAGACCCAGTGCTGTTTTCTAAGATCCAGAAACCAAGTGTCGCTCAAAATGACCCCACCGTCGCCCGTTCCTCCATTAATATACATGCAGTCACCGAGGGCACAGGCCGCATGAAAGAAACGATTTGCAGGCCGTTCTGAAAACACATTTGTTAACTGTGTCACAGATGATGCGGCGGGTAGTGGGGTTTCCTCGGTTTTTCTGTTGTTTAAAATGTTTTTCCCGTCGCCATTCACCCCCATGGTTTTCCCCGCGTGGATTCGCCTCTTCCATTTGCGGCTGGTCAATGAAAACACGTAAACATCCGTAGAAGCCACTGTCACGTGTTGTGTACTTTGTGAATCCCCTTGATCACGCTTTGGCGTTTTTCCACCAAAAATGTACAAACGATCCTCCCACGACACCATCGAGTGACCAAAACGAGGTGTCGGCTCGTGCTTGCTCCGAGTCGAAGACCCCCCGTACTCCCAAAGACACGTCCACTCCTGGGTGAAGATATCGTAGCAGTAAAGATCGCCAAGGACACGCGTCCCACGGTCTGTTGTCCCCCCACTAATGTACAGCCATCTTCCTCCAGAAGCACACGCCGCGTGGTTCGTTCGAGGCGTGGGAGTGACACCGCCGGACACACACACGGGATCCCATGAAATATGGTGCGTGTCATACTCAAAGAGAGACGCAGTTTCACCTTCCTCGATTTCCATTCCACCAAAGAGAAGCAGCTTTTGGCCTTGCATTGGGGTCAGTGTGTGCCCCCAACGGGCGCGAGGGGTGATGCCTGCAGGGTTTATGTACCTGGCGCACATGATGGGTAAAAAATTCACTTCTCTTTCTCTGTCTTCGCCTTCGCCTTGCGCTACCGGTTCCTTCGAGAATGACGTTGTGGGCGGCTCTTTTTCCTCCTCCTGTATCTGTTTCTGCGACGTCAACTTTGTTTGTTGAAGCCCTTGTTCATCGTTTTTTAGGGGGCTCGCGTTGTTTACTTTTCCTTCCAATGGCATTCGTTGAAGTGAAGCGCCCACCACACCTCCAACAAGTTTAGGGCGAAGAAATGTCTTCTGGGAAGCCGTGACCGGACTCTTTACAGGGCATGAGGCATCTCCAGTGATATCCACTGTGTTCATTGGGGGGAGACGCTCCCACAGGGGGACCACCGCACGTCGACTGTCGTTTGTTGTGTTCGCATACGTGGAGAACTTTGATTGCCCAAGATGACCAGCGTAGCGGGAGACCGCAACATCCACGTTGCTTGAACCCCGCTTTTTTGGAGAAAAGGGCCTTTCATTTTCTCCTTTATTTGTGGTGGGAGTACCGACGACGCCTTCCAACTCCTGCAGGAGTGCCTTGATCTCACTGGCATCAACTGAATCCCGCATGAGAAATAAATAATAACACAAACCCTCTCGTGTAATGGTGATGCAAATGTGTTTTCCTCCTTTACCTTCGGCTTGTTGCTTCCACCTTTCCTTTCCCTTTTTCTCGTTTCCCCCCCTCCTTTTTTTCGTGTTTCTCTTTGAAAAAAAAAAAAAAAAATATAATAATTCCTTTTAACTCGCTTCTTTACCGGTTGTGCACCGACCGCAGGTATAAAGTTCCGTTTACGTTGGGTCTTCCTTTTCAATGTAAACCGCGGGGGGGGGGAGGGGGGGGCACAACGTCTTATTACCGGTCTTGTTGTCTTTACCAACGGAAGGCCCAAGCTGCCAAAAACAATAAAAAACAAAAAACAAAAAACAACAAAAAAAAACTGTACCTTTTTCTTCCTTCTCCTTCTTTCTCACAATAAATGTTTTGTGTGTTTGTGTGAGTTCGCCTTCCCATCCCGACAAGAAAGAAAAAATAGGCGAGTGATAGAAGCAAAAGAGGGATGTGGAAATGAGATGGGGGATAATAAAAACAATAATGAAAGAAACGCGCACATGCGTAAAACCGTTGCAGGTGAGGAACTACTTATTTGCCAATGAATTTACGCGCTCCATTCCTCTCTTCCTTCTCCTTCCGAATATTCATCCATGTAGCCGTACTTACCGTATGTATGTACGTGTGCATGCACAGAAAAAAAATATATATATATATAAAGAAAAAAGAAAAGAGGAAAATGGAAAATGCAACTAAATAAGCGAGGAATACATTTTCTTTTTTTTTTTTTTTTTCCCCTCCCTTCCTGCTTCTTTCTTTCTTTCTTTCTTTAAAAACAACAACAACAAAGAAACGAAAAAACAAAAACAAGCACGCTTGTTATCTCCCCGCCAGGCCACATTTATTGCAGAGGAGTGCAGCATGTGAAGACCTCTTGGCCTTTCTGCAGGGCTTGAGTAATCTTTTCAACGCCGTCATGGGACGCGTACTCCACCACAACGCGGGGCCCCACCAACAAAATGTTGGAAACATCACCAAAGCGCGCAAACTCCTCCCAAATATGTCGTTCGTCCGCCTTCTTTTTGTCCCCGTCCTCACTTTTCTTCAGTGTGGCGATAAAAACACACTTGGGTGGTTCAATCTTGCTATTCCTTCCTCTGATGGTGTTGATTTTGGTGCAGTCGTCAACATTGCTCGACATCGCCACACCAACAGGCTTCCCAGCAACCGTGATGACAGGTGGTGCGTCTTGTGCCCAAGAGAGGGTGCATGGATGTTGTGATGTCGATTCGGTTGATAACGGTGGTGTAACATGACACTCTCTTGAATACATGGGAGCCACAGGAGAAATCCCAGAGACTGCCATTCCCGTGTCTGGCGCGGCTGCCACTTCTGCTTCACCTGCCGTTGGGCATAACTCCACGGCAACACCATCGATGATGACGGATGGGTAACTTTGCGTGAAACACCTTGACGCTGCCTCCAATGTATCGTACAACACCGTGAAGGTTGCACTCCGTGGCTGGACATCACACCGCAGGACGGAACCAAACTGAAGCAAGTATTCCATGAGGGACCGCTTGTCGATAGAGAATCCAATAGAGTACCGCCCCATTAACGCCCGTGTCGGAGGGGCGGGTGACGGTACAGCTGCCACCGCTGGATGATACGATCCACACTGTGCAGCAGAAGCAGCCGACAAATGCGGTGGTAGCGATGTGGCTCCCACTCCATTGTAATTGGCCGCGGGGGGACCACTGTTTCTGACGTGTGACTCCTGGTTCTCGGATCGGTACCGCCGTCGCGATCTATGGCTGTTAACCTGCGGCAACGAGTTCTGCGATGAGGCGGAAGAGCTACTGGAGTCGCGCGACGACCGCCTTGAACGGCGATGACGCCCGCGCTTATGATGGTGGCGGCCCGACTGCGGTTGTCGGTGATCAGCCCTATTGTGGCGGTGAAACTGCTTCTCAAGAAACTCGCGGCGGCGTCTGTGCGTCCCACTGCCATACATGGCGCTGGGTGAGAGGGCCAATGCGTCCTGCTGGTGTGCTCGTTCCAGGTGCGTCACAATGGCGGCGATGGGGACCTGATGCACCGGATTCAGCGGGCAACGCATGTAACCTTCCGGGAGAGGCTGCCGCTCGGCACGATGCTGCAACAACCGCTGCATCTTCTCCGCAAACGTCAGCGAAGAGGGCGCACCCACCATTTCGCAACCCTTTCGCGGACGAAAACAACAACAACAACAACAGCAGACGGCAGGGAAGGAATGAAACGGAAAGGAAACGGCACGCCCACAGCGGGGAAATTATTTCGTCGCAGCGGCACCTTTCTTCCAAAAGAACCGATCCGTTTTCCCACAGAGATCTTTGTCTTTTGCTTTATGTGTATATATGTGTGTGTGTGTGCTTCCGGCTCAGCTTCGCGGGAGGCAGGAAAAATAAAAATAAAAACAAAAACAAAAAAATGAAAGAACAGACCAGACATCCCCCACAAGGCAATGGCAGCGGCAAATGGTGCAGCCATCATGCCCATGCTCCAAATGACCAATACAGGTGGAATACGGCGGTACATTGCAGCAATTAAAGAAATGGTACGTGCGTGTGTGCCTCTTCCTTTTCGCCCCTCCCTTCTGCGGGCAATGAAGCATACGAAGAGGCAAAAACAAAAACAAAAACAAAAATCCGGACGGCCCCTCTCCCCCTTCCTACATGACGCGCTGATTGGGTGAGTGAGTTACGGGCAATTGCACGACCATTGATAGCACACAATGCAACCGGCACGATACACCAGCATAGCTGATGGTGCCTTTAATGAGAGAAAAGGAGAAGGAAATGAAATAAACAACAACAGCAAAAAAAAAAAAAAAAAAAAAAAAAGAAAGAATCAAAAAACAAACAAAACAAAAACAAAAAACAAATACAACGACAGCAAAAAGAACAACAAGGAAACACATGCAAAAAAAAAAAGGAAAAAAGAAAAAAAGAAAGAAGGTGCCACAAAAGCAGTTAAATTCACAGTCGATATCTTCACGCTGGCACCGCAAGAGCACTCCACGCCCACAACAGGCACACCTCTTTGGGCGGCCAGAAAATCAACCCGCACAACAGTTGACTCCTCGGTGGGTGTGGAGGCATTGCGGAGGCGCGGCAAAACTGTGGCCTGACACTTTCCATTCATTTTTTCCTGTTCGTTATTATTATTTTTTCTTTTTATTTTTCTTTTTTCCTTTTTTTGATCTTCCGTTAAATTGTTGATCCTTTTTTTTTTTCTCCTTTTTTAAATTTATCGTTCATTCCTCCTACGCCACCGCCCCTCTCGCGTTACCTTCTCCCCGTGTGTTGCCTATCACGCCTCTGCCTTTGCATTCTTCTCGCGACCTCTTCTCCGTGTGGTGTTCCCCTGCGTAGCAGATGCCGGTGCAGGCATGTCGCTTTCCTCCTTGCCATGACTCCCCGCGGGCTTTTTATTCCCCGCCCCGGGGGAAGACCGCCGCGCTGAAGGGGCCTTCCGCACATGCATGAGAGCCTCCCACACGACCCCTGCGAATGCCACGAGGAGTGCTATCCACTGCCCAATCGCCACCTGGTGGCCGTGGACCACAACAGACAGCAACACGCTCCCGGACTTGCGCAGCAGCGTTATGGCGGTCAGTGTCAGGGAACCAAAAAATGAGATGACGCGGAAGATAAAAACCTGCCCGGTCGCGTTTAGGAAACTCATCTCCAAAACATCCTTTAGGGCCTCCGGGTAGCGTTGGAAGAAGTGCCATGTGCGCGAGAGATCCTTCAGCGGGGCGACCTCGCGAAGATACCAGCGGAGGCCGGTGTCGAGGGATAAAAGGGCGGAGGCGATCGCCGAGGTACTGGAGAGAGCCGTGCTTGTCAGCTCCTCCGCCTCGAGGATCACAACAGCCAGTGGGTGTAGTGCCTCCAATGCAAGGAGCACGAGCAACAGCCACGTGCCGGTCGCAAGATTGGTATAAAACATAAGCCGATTGCCCCCCCATCCCAGCCGCTTGACGAGTACATCCTGCGTGGAATTCGTAAATCCATCCGTGAGTAGGCTAAAAAACAGCAGTAAAAATCCCAACCAAGAGCTTAGCGCCGCGCCATCATGCTGCTGTGTCTCCTCGTGCCGAGAATGCTTCTCCCCCAGCAAATAAAAACAAAATACACCACCTGTGGTTATGGCGCAAGCTGCACATTTACTGAAAGAATAACGCGTGCCGTGCCAAAAAAAACCAACCAACATGACAGGAACCATCTTTGACATTTTCGTGGCAAGCACAACGGGATACGGCAGACGTCGCATCGCCGCATAGCTCAAACTGGATCCGAACGCGTTCGTAAACCCCATTACTGCCGTCATGCGGAATGCGGCAAGGCGCCCCGCTTTGGACATCTTTCCTACCGATCCCGTCCCCGCCGAGTGCGCAACATACATGGAATACATTTTTTCTACAAGCAACAGCAAAGCCCCAACGAGCGTCCCAGCAATGGCCTGAACAAGTCCAAGTACAAAGACAGTGGACAGCTTCGCCATTTCGGCATGTTCTCCATCCGCCCTTACCGCACGGTATGGCTTCGTTACGACGCGCTCCTGTTTAATGGACCAAAGGCCAAAACAAACATAAATACCACTGACACAAAAAACAATTTGAAGCATTACAAAAATAACGGACAATGGCGGGGAGGCACCTTTTCGGCTGCCGCTCGCCTCCCTCTTTGGCTTCTCGGGCGTATTTTTCTGTTGCATGTCTGCCCCGGGCTTATTGGAAGACGCTCCGTTCGTGCTTTTCATGAGTTCCTCACAGAAGATGGTGGCGTGTGAGTGTGAGTGCTCAGAGAGAGAGAGAGAGAGAGAGAACAATTCACCCCTTTCCCCCTCAACGGACATGTACGCGTGACAAATAGACGGGGAAAAAAAAGAAAAAAAAGAAACGCAAAGAAGAAAAGCCAGAATACATGACATCCCCCACAACCAACAAAAGACGACAATGACACATCTCACACACCTTACCCACCACCGCGTCACGGACACGCAAAAAGAGACACAAGGATGCATGCGGGGACAACAACAACAACAACAACAACAACAACAACACATCCGCCCCTTCTATCCCATATCTCTCTATGAATAAAACGACGCCTGCAATAAACGACACCCCCTTTTTCAAACCGAAAGGTCAAAAATGATTGGTGAAACGAGTTGAAGAAATCCCCCCCTCTCTTCCTCACCCTTTTCAAATAAATAAATAAAAAAAAAACCTGCACACAATAAAAGAAAACAAAACAAAACCGGAAACAAACACGCCTAAATTGCTATCTCAAGTCCAAATCGCGTGCCGGACCTGCGCAAGTGATGTACGCCTAGCGTCAGCTGGAGACCCTCAAAAATTTTTGTGGCAATACCGATGCCAATACAACCAACCTTATTAATCCCAACTTTAAACTGTGTCTGATTGGCAAAGGCGGGCGTTGCGTCCAACATCATCGCGGCCTCATAGTCCATTTCGCCATCGTGCATCATCGAGGAGGCACTCAGACGGAAAAGACCGTTTCCAAACGACTTACTTACCCCAATCAATGTACCCAAATCCCGCCAGCTCACATCGCCTGAAAAGAGTGTACTTCGACTCCTTGCTATTTCATTTGCAGAATGCGACAGCCGGTTGCTTGAAATGAGGGTCTGCACCACAAGGAAATGAAAAGTGTCCTCATAACGCTCGTGCGGTTTACTGTGAAAACACAACGATGCTAAAGTATCGCCCTCCGCACTGCCCATTGGGTGCTGCAGGGCAACAGAAAGATGCAACGACGATGGGAGCGCCGTGGCAAGGAAATCAGGTAACATAGGCCCCACTGGCACACACCACGAGCCATCAATAAAAATTGGCGTGCGACGAGCCGTGTCCGTCTGTGTGCTGTTAGGGCTTTCTTTTTCCTCGCTTCGAGCCGGACCCGTTGTGGTGCGCAACGAGAAGGGACCAGCGCGCAACCCAATGCCATATCGCTCTACAGCGGGCGAAAATAATACCTCCAACACACCAATCGTGCCGGGCCGACCGCGAGACGGCAGCACAGCGGAGGAGATAAAACGACGTTGACTGTCTCTTGTTTGAGAAGAGACTGCGTGAGAAATTTCCGTCCGGTCAGCATTGCCACCTGGCTTGTCGTTATGGTTATCATTCTCCACGGAACCTAATCGCAATGGAACCCGTGCACGCAAGTCACACAAGACCTCTCTTCTCGTTGAAAATGCCACGGCGCCAATGTTTCGATTTTCAACATTCACAGCCCAATCCCCCTCGTCATCGTACATAAAGGACGACGTTGTGCCATCCATCTGTCGGCGGACAAACCGCAGCTGCTGTTGCTCTGCGCCTGCGTAAGGGGCAAAGTCGCTGAAGGCACTGCTGATCATTTCCTCGATAAGAGGGCCTTCCAATCCGGCCTCCCAATGGCGCTGTAGAAACGGTAACATTAAGGTCTTGTATTCTCAAATTCTTTGCTTTTTTTCCCCCTCCCCCTTTTCTATCCAGTTGCCCACTCAAAACCAAAAAAACGCACACACACTCCCTCTCACTCACTCACTCTCTCTCTCTCTATATATATATATATATATATGTTTATAAAACAAAAAATACCTCTGGTATATTAATATCTATGTGCTTCGTTATTTCCTTTTTGTCTTCCCACGCACACACAAAAGGGAGGCACTATCGTTTATTCACACAGCCAAGGAGAGAATCACTATGTGTGTGTGTGTGTGTGTGCAATTGGAAGTTTGGAAGCGGATATGTGGTGCTTAAACAAAAAAAAAAAAGCGCACTTGCAAACGTTTCTTGGCAGACTTCCCTTCTTCCACCTCCGTCTTCCCGTGTCCCCCTCCACCTCTCCAGACGCAGTCTAGCAACCCACACGACATAACGGAGTATAAAAAGAGGCACAGTGGTACATGTACATACGCATATATTTATTCACAGAAGAGTGTCAAACGGAGGGCGGCTTATTCATATGCACAAAAGGGGTCACTCCCCGCGGTACCACAAGACATCCGTCCTTCCTGTTTTAAGAAGAAAAATAAGGGGCAAAATGATGCCACTTCCCCAATTCACACCCAATTCCTTTTTTTTTTTTTTAAAATTTTATTTGACTTAAAGGCATTAAAATTTACAAAAAAAATGTTTTTTTTCCCCTTTTTTTTAAAATACTAAATACAGTTCACCCCTCTAGAGCACAGCCACCCTATTGCAGACACCTCCCCACTACCACCACCACAAAAAAAACCCCTCTTTCTCTCTCTCTTTCTCGCCTTCTCATACACACAAAAGGATTGGCCATCATCTTCCCCACTGTGTCTTCTGATCGGCTGTGGGATCTTCTATGGGCGTCCCACCAGGACCCACGCGCGGCACAAATTGTGTCTTTCGCTGCTCTGGATGCGTCGAGGAGGCAAAACGATCGACCCCTTCTTTATCTGAGACGCGCAGCAACTCGTCCTCATCCACACCAGGCACAACACGGCCCGACACAAACGTCTCCGCCAGTTCCTTCTTGGCTTTCTCAAAGGCGTAGGTGTAGGTGCGGGCATACTTGCCGCCAAACTCCGTGGCATTGATGCCGCAAAACAGCAGCACTTGTGAATGCTTCGATAGAGGGCCCAGACGGAAGGCAGCAAGTGTATTCTGACGGTCATGTGCATTACGCAAAGCCCCTTTCGCCACAGCAAGCGCCTCCTCCATAGAAAATGTCGAAGAAATGTGATCGCCAGTACTAAACGTGATCGACTCTGCCGCCCCAGTGCCATTTACCGCACATGTCGCAGAAAGTCCACTGTTGTTATCGAACTGACCCTCCGCTGCAAGAAGCGTACAAAGTTCTCTTCCGTACCGCACAGTTGCTGGGTACATTGGGAGCCTCAAACCGTGATTGCTTCCTGGTGACATATTCATCACGTCCAACATCTCATTTGGAAACCACCACTCTCTTTCCTTCTCCATTGCCCGATCAAGCACTCGGCGACGCGCTTCTGCCCACTCTGCCTCATTTGCACCGGGATGGTGCACCTCCCAATGGGCGCGGCACGAGGACTCAATCACCCGCTGCATTTCCGTCAGGCCAGCCTGGGCACAGCTACGATGAAACCTGTCGCTTCGAAGCAGATTTAAGAAATATTCCATGAACACATCGCCCTCCGCGTTAAGAACCTGACCAGCCTCAAATTCGCATTGCACCGGAACATCCAGCCCCGCCTCGCGCAAAAACGCACAAAATTGGATAAACTTTGATGAGGGGATGTCTGAAACCTCAGCAACCGACGGTTTCGCCGTTCCAAAAAACTGCTGCACGAGTTGGGGGATGGCGTCAAAGACTTGAAATGGCGTTGAAAATGCCTCACTGCAAAAAGCCGGGTTAAGCGTCGGATTCACATCCACGTCAAATCCCCGCACCCGCACACGGCACTCACCTTGCGGGATGGGCACTCCACTGGCGTCCGTGTATGGAAGATACAACTCAGCCGCCTGATTCGCGTTGAGCACCACACGGTCGTCTAGCATGACCACGAACTCCCAGGAGGACTCATCATCCTCTTGTTCACTTTTGGCGTTGTTGTCCGTGGCTGCGGGAAAAGGTGCGGCATCTTCAATTCGTTGGTACAGTGACGTGGCGTACTGCTGCACCTGCGCGAGCGGTGGAATCGTCCGAACAACGTCCGCAACTCGCCGCGTCTCCTCCTCCACCGCATCGCGCCGTTGCTTCGTCTCTTCGGCCGTCACACGTCGCCAGAGCGACACCTCCACAAACGCATTTCGCTTGATTTCTTGAATTTCCTTCGTGCTCTGCGCCGTCACTGCGGACCCCGCGGCGGCAACTCGTCTCTTCAGAGCATCAAAGTGAGGTGTCGGCCAATCGTAGGAAACAACGCGCCGCGCACCAAGTGGCCAAAAGGTCACGGATTCTTGCATTTTTTCAGCCTTTTTCGCCTCGGACACATCGGCACCACTCTCAAGGAGATCCGACACCACGGCAGACACCACAACCCCCTGCACAGGAGTTGCGAGACGCCGATGGTTGGCACGTAACTGCTTCAATTTGGCACGCCGGCGTTCACCAAAAGGGCGCGCCACGTTCTTTACAACACCTCGTATTAAATCCTCCGCTTTCGCAAGATTTGCCGCGCTAAAAAGCAGCGGTCGTTGCACCGCGTAGACCATTTCCACACCGTAGGTAGAAAAGAGCCCAACGAGCGAGCGACGAAACTTGTACGGCGACGCATAGTCCAAAGAACTACTGAGAGGTTTCGTTGCGTAGTACAACGCCGCAGTCGCCGCAACTTCCTTCAGTAACCCAGCATGAAAATAATTCAATTGTCGGCGTGCTGTTGTCGTGTGCTGCGTCACAGTGGAAGCCCCAAATTTGGCGTAATTTAACTGGCACCAGATGTCGTTCATGTGCGGTTTAAATCCCGCCGCCTTCATATCCAACTGCCCCTTCGCAACGGCATCCACAATACCCTGCAGAACCGCCTCGTAAGATGTAGTATCATACATGGCCCTCCTTGCAGCGGCACTGATGGCACGCACACGTTTCTCCGTATGAATATGCTCGGTCTCCATTTCCTCACAGCGGATTGTGTGCGTCCAAAACTCCAGTGCCGAAAAGCTGAGCCCATCAATGGTTGCCGTCATGAGCTGCATGATGGCATCGTGCTCACTTTGCCACTCCGTTGAAGTGGGGTCGTCGTCCCCATCTAGCGGCGGGTCAAACTCCCCAACTTCCACCTGCTGCTTCCATCGTTCAACCTCCTTCATGCAGAACTCATCCTTCTCGTGCGGTGCCAGCGCAGACCATTCACGGCCACCAAGGCAACGCCTGTGACGCTGCAGGAGAATTTTTCCCACCTCTGCAAACACCGCTGCGACTTTCTGCAAAACTTTTTCAGGCGCACCGCCAGCTCTCTTCAAATCTTCAGCGAGAACAGTCGTGAAAAATTGTTTTGCCTCATGTGAGAGTGGAAGAAACCGCTCCGCCCACTGCGTGCGGCGGGCACCCCCGTAGTGCCAAACACTTGGAGATGGCAGTGGGATGAGAGTTAGGGTCTGCTGCTGCAGGGCATCGTGGAAGGCAATATACTCCGCCGGCTTCGCTTGCTTTAGGGCATGTTCAAGCTGCTGTAAGTTGACCACCTTTTCCTTTAAAAACTTCTCCGCCATGTATGCACGTTCGCGAAACCGGGTATCCTGCGACCACTTTGTTTCCGGGCGGTCCGCCTCGTCAGTGAATACGTCGGGTGCATTGACCAAACCCACGTGGTTGGCAGCCGTGCGACGGGAATGCCGGAGTTGGCTAAGATAACGCCGTTCAAAGTACGATGCCCACACCGCTGCGCTATCCTTTACGTGCTCGGGGGAGCCAAACACCATGTTTGTTCCCATGTAATCCTCGACGGTTGCAAACGGAGAGGTTGAAGATGGCGATGGCAGAGACGATAATGATAGGGAAGCAGACGAGCCGTCTGTCCTCGTCCGCTCATTTTGGCCGACGTGAATGACGGGCAACGCGGTGTGCAGCACTGGATCGTTTCCGAAACGTATCCATGCTGCAATGGCGTCGCTAACATTTGCAATCGGCGCAGAGGACGCCCACAGCGTTCGGTTCTCGTCGCTCTCACGGAGTGGCGCAACGTGATCCACCGCCGGGTCCGGCTGCCAGATCGGCGTGTAAAGACGCCACTGCACATGAACGCAGAGCTGCGCGTGATGCGACAGTGCCACCACAACCCTCCGCGCACGCATCATGTGTGAATGGACCTCGCCAAGGGCGTCCTATTTATTTGTAATACGCAACAAGTACACTGACGCAAAGAAAGAAAAAAAAAAGAGGGAGGGGGGAATAAAAGGCCATACGTATTGGAGCAGCCAAAAAACAAACAAACTGCAAACCCAGTACGCCGCGACGGCGGTAAAACAAAAAAAAAAACAAAAAAAAACAAAAGGAGAATCCTACAGAGGCAAAGGGAAGCCGTGAAGGGAAAAAGGGCGGTCCTGCTGCCCCCTCCCCAGCCATGCCGAAGACGAATGACAAAACAAAAGGAGGAAAACCTCAAGCAGACATCACTTGTAAAGAAACAACGAAGCCCCGACACCAATGATCACTTCTCTTCCACATTCCTTCGCCAACAAGACATCCTTCTTAATAACATAACGCTTCTATATGCCTCTTTGTACCTTCTCCCTCAAGTCGCAGCAGACGGAAAAAAAAAAAAAAAGAAAAAGGAGCAGAAGGTGGACCGTCGCTTCATTACTTCCACAAACCCCACATGGAGGGAACGGGCAAAAACAAAAAGGCAGACAGACGGATGGACAGACAAAAAATGGGACAAAAAAAAACATAAATAATTATGCATGCACGCGACAAAAAAAGGGGGAGAAAAAAGAAACAACAACAACAACAAAAGGAGCCAAATCCTTCAATTCATTC